AGTTTGGAGGTCATGTTACAGCTATACAGGAATTGGTTAGGCCACTTTTGGAACACTGCTTTCAATTCTGGCCACCCAGCTATATGAAAGATGGTAAACTTGAAAAGGTGCAGAAAAGATTTACAAGGATGTTGCCAATACTGGAGGATTTGCGCTATAGGGAGAGGCTGAATAGGCTGGGGATATTTTCACTGGAGTGGAGACTGAGGGGGTAACCTTATGGAGTTTTATAAAATCATCTGTGGGACTAGTTCAGTTTAGGAAATCTGGTTGGTTTGGATGAGTTGAGCCAAAGGGCCTGTTTCCTTGCTGAAAGACTAACACCCGAGTGCTGCTGATTGTGTCCCCACACAGAAGCCTTGAACTGTTCGCACCACTAACATATGGATTCCTCCACATCACCAATCGATTTCTATATTTATGCATGCAGCTGTAATTCAGGCTAAGAAATATATTGAAAGCTTTATAAGTGGAGGGCACAGACAGCCATAACTAGAAGGACTGAATGATGTGCATCTATCTAGATAGGGTTAAGCTGAGGGAAAAAGGAAGAACTAAAATGAGTTGGTAAATTATTGGAAAGATGAAAACGTGCAAGTGCCATGTTTCACGTAGGAACAACTGATGTGCAAAACTCCAATCTTCCAAGAGTCAAAAAATATTTTGAACCATAGAATCCCTATAGTGTGGAAGCAAACCATTCAGCCCAACGAGTCCACATCGACCATCTGAAGAGCCACCCCACTACCGTATCCCTGTAACACTGCATTTGCCATGCCTAATCCACCTAGACTACACATCTTTGGACTTTGGGAGGAAACCCACGCAGACACAGGGAGAATGTGCAAACTCGACAAAGACAGTCACCCGAGGGTGGAATTGAACCAGAGTCCGTACTGCTATAAGGCAACAATGATAACGACTGAGGACAGCAACATCAGGTGTGTACTTCCATTGGTACTTGCTGAAACCAACTGGATGTATCAAGACTTATCTGGAAAGACACAGAAAGGATTGTATTCCTTCAACATGGAGACTTCTGGCAGTTATTTAATGCCATTGATAATAGTCACAAATCTTATTTTGTGGTGTGATCTCACATCGACGACATCATCGGTGCTATTTTCCCCTCCTGTCCAGAGCTGGAAAAGTTTCTGTTTTGCTTCCAATTTCCACCCAGCTCTCACCTTCACCTGAGCCATCTTGACATGTTTCCATTTCTCAGGATGGGCTGGCCACCAATATCTATACAAATGCATTAACTCCCACAGTTACCTTGACTATACATCATCACACCCCGCTTCTTGCGAAGACACTCTTTCATCTTCCCAGTTTCTGTCATATCTGTTCCAATGGAGTTAACTTGTACAAGGGGGCCTCCAAAATGTCCACCTTCATCCTCAAACAAGGATTCCCTACCACCCAGTGTAGGACATGGCCCACAGCTGTATCTGACTCACCTTCTAACCTTCAACTCTCATCCATCTTCCCTCCCCAACAGTGATAAGGTCCCCCAGTCCTCACTTACTTACCACCAGCGTCAAAATCCATAGGATTATTAGCTACCATTTCTGCCACCTCTAGCAGGATGCCACCACCAGACGTATTCCTCTCTCCTCCCCTGTTAGCCTTCCACTAGAACTGTTGTCTCTGGGACATCCTGGTCCACTCCTCCATTCCCGACATCCCATACACCCATGGTACCTTCCCATGCAAACGCAGAATGTTTGACACCTTCCTAGTTACTTCCCCGCTCTTTACTATCCAAAACCCCAGACACATCTTCCAGGTAAAGTGGTGATTTACCTGCATTTCACATAATCTAGTCTACATTATTTGCTGCTCACAATGTGGGCTCCTCCACTGGGAAGATGAAAGGCAGACTTGATGACCACTTTGTGGAACACCTACCTCCCGTCTACAAAATGACCCTGAGCTTCCGATTGCCTGCCACTTTAACACATCACTGTTCCCCGCCCAACATCTGTGTCTCAGGCTTGCTGCAGTGCTCCAGTGAAGCCCAGCACAAGCTGGAGGAACAGCATTTCATTTTCCACTTGGGGACTCTGCAGCCTTTGGGGCTCAATATTTAGTTCAATAATTCATGACCTGAGCACCTTTCCCCATGTTCTTACCACAGCACCCACATACCAGGCCTTATTGCAGGAGCTACTACCACACAATTGCATTGTCAGCTACCAATGGTCCCAAGTAGCAGTTAGTGATTCCCCCAGGCTGATCTTTACCCATTCTTTGTCTGCTCAACTGTTGATATCTCTCTCTAGGAGCCAGCTCTGTGCTAACTGGGTCAGCGTCTTGTACTTTGCATGTGTAAATAAAGGGCGACTTCATGACAGGATACTGGTCTTTGTGGAGTTATTTCATGTACTAATCTCTTCCTTGCTACAATCATGGATGTACAAAGAACAAAGAAAATTACAGTACAGGAACAGGCCCTTCAGCCCTCCAAGCCTGCACCGACATGTTGCCCGTCACAACTAAAACCCCCTACCCTTCCAGGACCGTATCCCTGTATTCCCATCCTACTCATATATTTGTCAAGATGCTCTTTAAAAGTCACTGTAGTATCTGCTTTCACAACCTCCCCTGGCAGCAAGTTCCAGGCACCTACCACCCTGTGTAAAATATTTGCCTCGTACATCACCTGTAAATCTTGCCCCTCACACCTTAAACCTATGCCCCCTACTAACTGACTCTTCCACCCTGGAAAAAAGCTTCTGACTGTCCAGTCTGTCCATGCCCTTCATAATCTTGTAGACCTCTATCAGGTCACTCCTCAACCCCCATCGTTCCAGAGAGAACAACCTAAGTTTCTCCAACCTCTCCTCATAGCCAATGCCCTCTGTACCAGGCAATATCCTGGTAAATCTTTTCTGTACCCTCTCCAAAGCCACCACATCCTTCTGGTAGTGTGGCAACCAGAATTGAACGCAGTATTCCAAATGTGGAGGTGCCGGTATTGGACAAGGTCAAAAATCACAAGACACCAGGTTATAGTCCAACCGGTTAATTTGAAGACACAAGCTTTCAGAGTCTCGCTTCTTCATAAGGTGTCAATGAGACAGGTGGCATCAGACACAGAATATAGAAGCAAAAGATCAAAGGGTCATTGAACCAATACGAAAGTGTTTAAACAGCCATCTTTGGTTTGTTCATCAGTTATAAAGGATTAATGTGCAAATTTCAGAATTTCTTTGACATCACTGCCCCAAGACAACTAAAGGTTTTATCAATTTCTACAGTATACCAGAAGTGACATCCCAGGTCAGACAATGCACCTTAGGTGTGAGGCCTTGTTTAAGAATCTGGCTGTGTATCAACTTGGAGTCAGACTTTATTTCCAAAGTAGGAATTTATAAAATGCCACATTGACTGCCTGCAAATTGTGTTTTTTTGAACAAAATAGAATGTATCTGCAATTGTAAATCTGTAAATGCAAATTCACCCCATAGATTTATGTATCTGGGGGCACACGGAGACAGAGACAAAGCGAGAGAGAGAGCACGAGAGCGCAAGTGCCAGTGCAAGCCAGCCAGAGCGAGGGAGAGAGAGTGAGCGTCTGTGAGCAAGCGAGGTTACTGTAGTACAACAGGAACCCAAGATCCTGGTTGAGGCAGTCCTCATGAATGCCACCTCTCTCACTGACACCTGAAAAAGCAGCGAGACTCTGAAAGCTAGTGTCTTCAAATGAACTTGTTGGATTATAACCTAGTATCGTGTTTTTTGACCTTAGCTACAATCACTTCTAAAGAAGGGTCACCAAACCAAAAATGTTGGGAACTTTGCTCTCCACAGATGCTGCCAGACCTGCTTAATTTCCCCAGCAATTTCTGTTTTTGTTTCCATTCAAAACAAAGTTCACCTTGTCTAATACTAAATCAACATTCAAAGATGATAAGGCACAATTGGAAAAATGAATGGTAACAAAACACTTATTATGGAATTATACTACTGATGAGCATGATATGGTTGCGAAGAATGGTACTCATAGTAGCATAATTAAAAGTTCAGCATAGAACAGAGTAATACAGATAGAGTTAGGTAGGTTGTCTGCAACCTATGTGACTTGGAGACTTCAACTTGTAGGATGAATTGATTGGGGACTTGAAGTGAAGGCCAAAAAAAAAAAAATCAAATTCAATGAAGTTAGGGATTACCTGATATCCTACAAGATCCCTTCATAACATGAAAAACGGTCACCAGCAGCACACTTGGCTTGGGTGTTTAGCAATACATCTTAATAAGCTGAAAGCTTGAATAGAATGGGAAAATGCTGGGCCTGCTCATTGAGTTAGGCACCAAAAGGTTCCATGGTGCAATGCCAAACGCAATGGTACTGTTTTCAATGGTAAATGGTACAAGAAACAAAAAAGTGGTCGAGAAGATATGATTGTTTAGACAGCTATACTGCCAAAGAAAAGCAAATAAACCAAGACAGACAATAAAATCATAATGCTGAGTCCAGAAGGCAGTTTTAATTTCAACAATTAGATCAATCTCAGCCCAACTATTTTAATTTCTCAATTTATTTTGCATTCAGATTAATGCAATTCTGACATTGAAACCTCCTCTGGACAGATTTTGTTTCACTTGCCCCATTTCCACTTCCCTTGGTTGTGCATTATGAAATCTTGCCAATAATTTCAGTGGCCTCATCTTTCCCTTTATTGTCTTTCCCATCCAATCACAAAAGCGAAAGCAAAGGGAAAAGAAAATTGAAATGAAGTGGGTAAGAAGATTTATCAAATTTGACCACCTTCACAGCCTCTCACCTCAAAGGGAATAATTCTGCATTACAAGCAGTTTGTGTTAGTTAGGCTCAGCATTGTGTACATTGCTCTGAGGATATATGAAGTGTGTGAGGCAGTGGCATGATAAACTGCAAGATCCCCTTGTCAGTGATTTTGGGAAATAAGGAATGAGACCAAGTCCTAATTATTTTAGTGTAGGTTAATTAAAAGAAAAGACAAGACAACTTATTTGGGTGTTTTGTGCAAGTTTATTGTGACATTTTAATGAACAAGAATATACATGTAATGACATTGTTAAACTTACCAGTCAGGCAGGATTGTTTCATTGGTACTGCCTTAACTTCAGTATATCAACAGATAGTTGACCTACAGGCTAAATCAGGCAATACTCTGACAGAATCCAGCATGACTTCCACATCTATCAGAGAATTCATATATTGCATTGGAGCACAATACTGAAATGGTTAACAGTTCCAAAATAGCTTCTGAAATCCAAGACTTCAAAAACACGTGAAAGTAACACAGACAGTCAATATTTTGGCAGTAAAAAAGCTTGACAACTTGGTAACTTGATGCCTAAATGAATCACTGGTACTCCAATCAGGATGGAAAGTTACAAATCAGAAAAATACACAACTCTTCCAGAATTATCCAGAAACAGTTTGCATAATTGGGGGAACTGTAGCTCCCCTCAATGACCTCAGATTTCCCCTCTTCTAAAATCAATATTAAACCAAAATACAAACAGTCTGAATTTTTAGCAATTTTTCACTGAAATTAGAAGTCAAGGGAACATATGCATTAGTATTAGAAATTACTCCAGTGATAGGAACCAAACAAGTTCGTGCCTTTTTCTTGTTGCAGTCTCAAAATAGGCTGGCATCATATTTCTAAGGCAACATGTACCATACACTCTAGCATCAGGAATAAAAGCTTCAATGTAAAACAGTTTAATTATTAGTTGAGTACATAAATGACTTTTTCCTCCCTACTGTCCCATTTTTCAAAGCTCATTTAGAAAGTGATATTAAATTATGACATTTCACCAAGGCAGTTGGCCAACTCTACAACTACATTGTCGTTTGTTTAATATTTTAAGTTCAAAATTGTGAAAACTACAACAAAATCACATTTCCAGTACTCATTTGTACACCAGTTTACAAATCTGAGCCAATGTGAAAACTAAATGCAGACAACAGTAATTGGCTGTGCAACCTTACTACTATGACTTATATACTCCTGTGATAGCGAGAAACTTCTTGGATTCACAGTATATTAATGTTCGGTATCAGACATTTCTACAAGAGTGGGTGGATGTATGTGACATTATAACATAGCAAAGAACTAATTACACTAGGTCAAGGAACAACATATTCACATTTTGGAACAGGCCCTTTTTCACCAATTACAGAATTTGCCAATTAAATAAAAACAATGGCTTTCGTGTCAAGCAAGTATTTAAAGAAAAAATACAGACCTAAGCATATGCAACTGTAAGTACAAAGAATGTTTATGGAGGCCTAGGGAGCTGTGACGTCTGAAATGAATTCACTATGGCCCAAAGCACACTACTCATTTCTTGCAGGGATAGACTCGTGCATCTCATTACAAGAACCTTAAGTTGTCAGACGTTTGAGATGGAAGACTAATTCTTACTTCAGCAACTAAAATACCTTCATGCCAATCCACATCCAACTCCAATGCGATCATCACAACCTGTCAATCATCCAAATCTCTTCAACTGCTTTCATTCCACTAGCACCCACTCCTCCAAATATTGTAATATTCAGTCCATCCATATGTCTGCACTGACAGCTATCCAAACTGCCTTTGCATTTTATCATGCCCTCAGATTTGGAAAGGGTTTTTCTTCAGTTAGCTCACTGATTAGTAAATCCAAAGTCTGATAAAACTAGCAACTTTGAGTTATACTCAGACTGGGAATGGAAATAGGGATTTAGATTCAGACTTTACAGCAACTTTCCTCAATCAAAGGCTGCATGTCTTCATTTATATAGCCCACAGAAGAAAAAACCCTGCTACTATTGGTCTAACCAAAGGAAATGAATTTAGTTGGCTATTTTTTTTTTGAGACAGAGATTTAAAACATTAGGACCTTGTAACGAGAATCCAGCTCCTCCAAAATTACAGGTATAAGAGCCATGAAAGCAATTCACAAACCAAATGTGCAAGAATAAGCATAAACTGTACATTTGCAGTATTACAATAGCATATTAAGAACCTTCAGGGTGTGAAAATGCAACATCCTATTTCTTCTGCTACATTCATTGAGGCAGCATTTTTTTTTGAAATGCCCAGTTCTTGAAAAAATGTATTTGGAGGTGTTCAACAAACTAAACTTCCAGACAATAAATTCAAAAACAGTAAGTACAAAGTAATCTCTCACCACCATTGAACAACAGGAAAATTAAAAGCACGAGCTCTGACCCAAGTCTGAACAATTGGCAAGGAATTTACTTCATTCGGATTTTTTGTCAATAATGACAGTTTTCTTTGTAAAACGTTTAAGGTCTCTGACATTTCTGTACTTGTGCAAGCTGGATACACTATAACCAATCACACCAATAACCAGTTAGGAAGCTAGTTCAAAGCCTATCAAAAGCAAAGGCAATCATTATAGCAGAGCAGAAGGAAGCAAATAGCCATGTTCCATTCAAAAACCACAGTAACATTTTAATATAGCCTGTGATGAATCTGGTGTGAGTACAAGGACAGATTGCAGATTGCAGATTTTTGAAGTGGGTATTTCAGTCAGGCCATAGACAGGTTTCTTATGGGACTGAAAATGAAATAACTGAAGCTATTTAATACAAGTAGCACCAGGTCTTGTGTGTGCAGTTTCCCAGTAAAAGTCAAGATAAAGTGACGATAGGGCTACTCTCCCATTAGAGCACAACAGCCTCAGGTAAAGGGGAAGAGGTTGAGGAGGAGAGTCCTTCATGGTAACCTCAGCTGGTGTGGGAGTTTATCCCACACTGTTGGCGTCACTCTATCACAGACCAGCCATCCAGTCGATGCACTAGCTGACACCAAAGTAGTAAATGAGTGAAGGATCAGGTCAAATGGTGACAATGCACTGAAGACATTACAACAGCATTGTTTGTTATTGCATAGTCTAGCAGCATATATATTGCACCATTTCTACAGGACATAAAAACATTTTACTGAATGAAGGTACAAAGAGTTAAATAAAATAAAATATAATATGCTGGAGAATTCTGTGGATTATTTATCCTTAAGTATCATAAGGTAAACAAACCTCTTTTCCAGCTATTCAAAAGGTTCTACCTAATTTAGTGTCCATGTTAAAAAAAGGACAATTTTCATAGGTACACATATCTTATAAAAGAAGCAGCTTATGAGAAGACAACATTGGCTTGTGGGAAACAGGAGCAATTACAAAATGCCACCATCTGCCTCCTTCCATGAAGGTAGGACATACTTTTTTACCCTCCCACCACTCCCCAAATAAGGCAATTTGGAATTATACAAGGGCAACTCAACATAAGGTTCTCTGCCAAGAGACATCTAGATTCACGGTCACGAGCCAACACCATTAAAAAGAGCAAGCTTGTCAAATCACTGTCTGCCAAGTAGAATCATAGGCCTATCCCTTAGCAAGAAGCACTCGCAGCAAAGGAACAAGTCATCAACTAAAAAGAAGGGCATCAAACTAGACTTTCATTAAATCCTTGTACTTGAGGAATAACTTAGTTCTAAGCCCCAAGAGGAGAGATACTATTGTGCAGAACACAATAGAGAAAAGAAAGCATGCAGTAACTGTTTCGACATACAGTAATCTGATCCATCACCACAAGAGTATTAAACATTAAGGTCCAGAGACAAAGCACACAATCTGCATCTTTCTGCAGTAGACAATGGATCAGCAATACCTTATTCATCTCTCCACACCTTCCCCACCTTGCACATTAAACCAGATTGTATTATTTAATAGAATAGGCTACAGTTCCTTTATAAGCAAATGTTTTCCCAATAATAGTGGCTTTTGCACCCTTAACCAGTGTTGTTAATACTTCATACTAAAAAGCTACAACTTCATGGGTACAAAAATTAACAAAGAAAAGTGTAATGGAAGATCATCACAGTACAATATATAAAAAAGAGAAACTACCACAGTTTTAAAAATTGGCAAAAATAAGGGTACAAAACATTACAATACTGCATTGTGAACTAAACATTAAAATAGCTGTCAACACTGGCTACCATTATTATCCACGCTCTAAATCCCTCTCCACCTCTGCTTCAAGGTGATCTTCAATCTTTGTCTGTAACAGATTGTGATAAAAGGATTGTATATTAGTAGTGGCAACCACAAGACCTATTAAGACATAAAAATGTAGGAGAAAGAAACAATACGGCCCATCGAGTCTGCTCTGCATTCAATGAGATCATGAGTGAAATTATTATCCTCAACTCCAATTTCCTGCCTTTCCCTATAATCCTGGATTCCCTTAATGATTCAGAGTGTGACACTTAAGCTTTGGAATTCTTTACTCCAGGGGCTTTTAAAGGTTGGATTATTAAGAATATTCACAGATTTACTGTTCTGTTTTAAATTGGTGACCCATTATTCTGACATTATACCTTCTGGACCAAAACTCTCCCACAAGGGGAAATAACCTTTCTGTATCCATCTCCGTCAAGCCCCTTAAGAATCTTGCATTTCAGTAAAGTCACCTCATCTAATTCCCAATGAATACAAACCAAAACTATTCAATCTCTCATTAAAAATCCCTCCAAATCGAGGATCAATGGAGTGAGCTTTTTCTGGATGGCCTCCAATATATTTCCTTCCAACTGTGGTCTGACCTGTGCCTTTTATAATTTCAAAAAGACCTCCCTATTTTTATACTCCAATCCCTTTGAAATAAAGGGCAACATTCACTTGCGTTCCTTATTACCTGAACAGTTTTGAGATGTGCTTATTAGGATCTCCCAAATCCCTCAGTACTGCAGTGTTCTGCACTCTAATGGATATCCTGGATGTCTACTGGCAATGAATTATCAAAGAACTAGATCCTACATTTGGTCTTCTCTTCCAGTTCCAAGATCTGAGGCACTGAACCTTACAGACTTAGGAGACAGCAAATTTAAAAGTTCACTGAAATACAGGAATAGACTACGAAATCTGCCCCAGCGGCAGATATGGCTTTAACAGCTGAGGCTATACTGAAATCCATCTCTACCTTTCCTCAAATCCTTCATAGAATCTAGTTCTAACAACATCTTATTCACTTTTCACAGTTCTGACTTTAGCTTGGTGTCACATTTTATACATTGTACAACAGACTCCTTCAGGAATTGGATTTACTAGTGTTTTAAAACAATGGAAAAGCTGATGTTCAGATTTTATTCTTTTAACATGGTCTGGGTTGTTGAAAGTTGTTTTTAAAAACATACTATCCTTTAAATGTCATTAATGTAGGAACCTTGACTCCACTAGTCCGAGGTTTTATACTGGAAAGTAGACTGAGGCAATATTCCTCTCTATATGGCTGAAATTTCAACACACTGCGCTCTTTTTATGCTGAAATGCAAGTGTATTCCCGGAAGTTTTCGGACACTAAATCAGGGCTTCCCAAAGTGGGGTTGGCATCCAAAGTGGGGATACAAACTCAAGGCCATGAAGGAGCTTTGCCCTCTTTCCTTCCACTTGCACAGACCTTCTCATCCAGTCACCTACTCTCGTGCATTTCTCTCACAGCTGCTGTCAATAACTTGCAACTCACAAAAATGGGGTCGCAATGGGAAAAAGCTTGTGAAATATTGCCCTAAATGATCTAAGTTCTAAACCACAAATATCTAGACAGAGAAAATACCAGCCCTCTGTTTTCTCCTCTCAGATTTGCAGCATCTGGCCCTTCCTCAAGCTACTGTATGATCTACAACTGCTACCAGGATACTCTTTCACAGGATTATCATACATTCATACCCAGAGTTCTAACCAATCCACATCCCCTGCCAATGCCCACATTTACTGCTTCACTGGTATCTGTAAATTATTCCATCAGATTACACTCTAATCATACTTCATTCATTTTAATTTGTTTAAATTGGTAGCTTGCAAGAGTAAATACTCACTCTCCAGATTAGACATGCTGACTGTGCACACTACTGCTATCTCCATCTCCTCCTGGTTTCTGCATTTGCATCTGCATTTGAGCCTGCATCTGGGCAATCATCTGCTGCATGCGGCGCAACTGTTAAAAGAATACAGTGATGTCATTATCCCCTCAAAGAAAAAGTAGCAGCTGAAAAAAAAGACAAACAGAGTTCATTGAAAGTTATGGCTTCAGTCTGGGAGAACTGATCAAGTGTTCAGAGGATACCATAGCTCAAAAGCTGTCAAACCTTTATCACGAAAAGTGAGAACATTCATTAAGAGTCTGACTTACAATGTCAGGATAGGAATCTCAGATCGAAGTAGAGATTGTGTACTCCCCTGTGCTGTGCATGACAGGCAATAGGGCAGGCCATCTCGGTGGCACAAGGGCCCAATTTGCACAACAGTGTAGGAGTTGAGACAACTAGTCCAGCCATTTGAAAGTTCAAAATGTATGGGTCTCACCTTCCAGCTATAAAACATACCTGGCAGGTGGGCCTGAAGTGGTGTATATTGTCTTGTGGAAATTAAGCCTGTCCTTGAGAAAAACTGTAGATACTGAGCAATAGATCTTTTGGAAAATAATTTCCTGCAGATTTCAATTCTTACCTCAGCTTCCTTCTCCAGCAGAATCTGGTCCTTATCCTGAGGATGCTCTTCCCCTTTCCTGAGAGATAGGACATTATTAAAGACACAAAAGCACAGATATATTCCAAACCACATATCCTGTCTCATCTGGATCACTATGCAGCACCTGACATTCAGAACAAACGAACAAACAATGTAAATTGATCTTCAAATTACTAGCAAATTGCTGCTGGATTAAAATAGTTCTTCTTTGGAATCACAACTTGACTCAACTTGTTCTGATTGTGTTCCTTTCACAAAAATCTTGGGCCTGATATCACTCTGATTTGCATGTTTATTTTGACGCCTTCCAGAGTCAACCTGTCATAGGTGATAGAAAACAGTGGCATATCAGAGGAATATACCCTAGAAAACCCTACACTGATTTGAAGATCATTCCTGCATCCAACTCCAGTATTTAAGTTATATTTAAACACCTAAATTTTTCTAACAGGTAGTAACTAGAAGACTCAATGACCTTTACAATTCACAACAGTTCTCTTGTCTACACGGTTAGTGTTTATAATGTCACAGCAACTGGAGATAATCCACAGGAAGCGGAGCAATTCCTGATTTGAGGCAATTCAGTCTCTCTCCTCCTCATATAATTTTACCCAGATATCAGAAGTGGCTCCCCAAACACAGTTTTGTCTTTCCCAAGTGGAGATCCTCAAAAGGTGGCAGCACAACTGCTTTCCCCATGCAATAACAAACTGATGTGTGCTTTAAACTCACTCAAGACTAGGTTCAGGCCCATTTCACTACAGACTCCTTCATAGTAAAAGGTACTGTAATTTATTCTGTCCTGGCCAAAACCAGACTCAATCTGGCTGAGCTACATTTAAAAATTTAGCAGCAGCACAGTTCCCAACCCAATACATCAAAAAGGTATTTTTTTTTTTTTTAAAGACTACTAACATAGAAAGCAGATTCCATGTAACGGTCTTATGACCCTAAACCTAACTATTAAGCTTTGTATACATCAAGAAGTAAATGGTTTCCAGCTGGAAGAACAAGGATTCTATTGGAATACAGTTTCAAAAAGTTCAGCTTAGTTTAGATTCCAGATCTTCAGCCAACAGTTAACTACGACATTGGCAGATGGGCATTAAAAGGGAATCAAACCCAAATAAGAACAATCTAACCACAGAATCATTCATACTTCTAAACATTTGTTCTGAAATATCAGGCCCAACGTCACTAATGCTTGTCACTGTGACTGTGAAGATGTCCTTCCCTCAAATTCTCATCTTCCATACTTCCAAACCCATCCAACAAATTAACACTATGAAACACTGGAAAACACAAAAACTGTGAAGATGAATGCTGAAAAAGAGAAAAAGGCACAAACATATGAAAGGAAAGAGGAAAATAGTAGTAAGGATAAGGAAATTATGGAAACACAGATCTAACCCTGTCAGTTGAATATAAGCAAAACCCTGCTGTAAGTGGATATCTGAATCAAGCAGAGAATGCAGGAAAAACTCAACAGGCCTAGCAACATTTATAGAGAGAGAAAAACAGTTAACATTTCAAGCTTAGTATTACTCTTTAGAACTGAAAGCTGGTGGAAGGTTTGTTTATTAAAACTACTTTTGACAGAGGAAGAACCAGAGGAGCAGCAAGACCGGAAATGGTATATATATCTGGTGCAAAAGACCAAGGGGCTTGTTAATGGTGGTGAAACAGAAAGAGAAATGTAAAATGGGTGCAAATGAAGGTGTGAATGAATTATACCCATTTTACATTCTTTCAACACCATTAACAAGCCCCTTTGTCTTTTGCACCAGACGCCTGCACCATGTGGTCTTGCTCCTCCTCTGCTACTGCCTGTCAAAGTATTAAAAATTTCAACACCTTTCAGTTCTGAATAGTAGTCATACTGTACTTGAAACATTAACTGTTTCTCTCCACAAATGCTGCGAGACTGCTCAATTTCTCCAGCATTTTCAGTGTTTGTTTCTAGCTGTCAGACCTAGCTTCCCCTTCAGAAAAGAGGTTAAATGCATAGCCTCACCTACAAATTCTTTAGATGGTCAAGCTCAACAACTAGCAAATTTAAAAATCACAACCATGATTACATGCCATCTCTCAAATACAAAGTGTTAAACAAAAACAAAGCAGCAGAAATTAAGCACAATGAGGTTCCAGCATAATTAGGTATTCCTGGAAGGCTCGTTTAGATGCATAGACCACTTTTCTACTTCTTAATGAAGCATTGAAATGACCCTTAAAACACACTGCTTTACTACTTTGTTTGAAGGGCACTGAACTAGTTATGGGCAACTTATGGTGATAAAGCTGTCTGTGTTAATCTTGTTGATCTTCAATGAATGTTTTCACACAAAAGGTTGTTAGAACATGGATCGCGTTATTACAACATTTAAAAAGGGAATTAAACAAATTTCTGGAGGGTATTGCTTAAAAAAAGGTGAAAGTAAGGTTAAACTGCATGGTTCCTACATAAGCAAATTAAACAAATATCCAATTTGTCTATCTTATTTCCACTGAAGTTTGTAAAGTTGTGGTGTAAATGTTCCCTCATCCAACCAACCACATATGCAGATTGAATATATTTCAGTTAGCATTCTTTAAAGGATTAAATATTCTGGCTCAACAGGCAGAACATAAATTAGTGTGGTGGTGAATACCACACACATTAATTAATCTTTCTCCCTGTGGCAGAACACATGCAGTCATGAAGGCTGTGGAAGCCAAGTTAGACTGTTCAGCAGCTTTTGTAGCAGGATGGCATTTAATAACAAAGGAGGTGTGCCCATTTGCCAATTCAATTGATGTGGGAAATAAAATAGGCTGAATCAACATGAATACATGTTGCAGATCCTGCTCCTCCAGTAACCTAACTAAAATGAAGTGACTTTCTTTTCGACCAACAAACTAATAATTTTGAGACAATTAACCATTGCAAAAGAGCTGCAACTTCATGGCAGTGGCAACAATCTGCAAAGATGAGCAATACACAAATTTTACAGCCTATTACCGTACTGCAAGCAGTCAATTTCACTATGTACACTTGCCCCGTAACTAGGAACAAAGTCGTACCAGTGCATCTTATATCAGCCATATGCACATGTAGCGAATATTGACATACGTCAAGCTCAATATAATCTTAAAATTATTCCTACCACATCAGCATAGAAACAGTTTATTTAATCCATATACCTTCGTTTCAGGAACTGTGCTGCTCAAGATAGGGAAACGATAAGTATTAAAACATTACTCAAGAATCTTAAATTTCAAACATTTTAAAAAATATACTAAAGTTTGTCTTTATGGACTCCAAGCTGGTATAAGATTCAATTCACATAGCACAGATTGTCACCAGTTTCTTCACTAGTGTCCTGCATTGGCTCTCACTTCTGGTCGTATGTCAGATACAAAGATTTAATAAGAAAGAATAGTAGGAAACAGATCAAAAAGACCTCCTCAACTCCTCAGGTTTTCACCAATGCGTTGCTGCATACCACATCTTACCCCAGTGTGTCACACATTCTGGAACTCCCAGAGACCAACTCAATACGTAGTATTATTCACTCTGGAATCAGTTTTATAAACACTGTCTTTCAGAACATGAGATCATGCATTTTATTAATGGGTTTCTACTTGGAAGGGCAAGGAGGTACTCCTTACATCTCCCAAAAGTAAGGTGTTTTTCTACAGGAGAGGGATTAATTAAAGGTTAAAATAGAGCTGATAGCATGGAAATGAACATTGTGATGTTAGTAATACCGCTAAGCACATTCCTGAAACTGTAAACACTAAAAAAGTTCAAACACCTTTACCGTTAAAAGACTTAAATTTTGAAAGGATTTTCCTATTGGCAGACTTAAAGCAACTTCAGTGCAGTAGCTACTGCAGGCTGGCAACCTCATCCAGTCAATCTTGAGCTCTTCATCTGTTTAGCTAGCTAAAGCCGAGAGTGGCAATACTAGTCAATCTCTGAAAGAAGTCCAGAAATAAGACGACTGTTTCTGAAAGTACAGTTAATCTGAGGTGAACTTCCTTATGGCCATGAATTGTTCCAAAATGGGTAAGGAACATTTTTAAAAGATTTTCTTCTTAACTGCTCTTATAAATAACTGAATAATTCATACCCTAAAGTGCTGCTATCGTCTGATTGAAGTCAGTCATTTGTATTGGAGCTATTTGCAGAAAACCAGTCGTCAACAACCAGCGTAAAAATTGAGGAGCGGAAGACATTGACCCAATTCAGGTTGCATGGAGGCTGAACTGTTGCACAATTTCCTTTTCAGATGCAGAGATTACATGGCATCAAAGGGACGGTTCATCTGACAGGGGAGGAATCTTACATCCTAGTTTAAAAGAAGTGCCAAGTTTCAGCGCCAAGGCTACTGTAATAATTAGTTGAATTTAGTCCATTCAGGGCTAGGAATATACAAGTGGTGACAACAAAAAGGAGAATGCAAGATTTAATTACAACCCTTTCTATTTGGATTGATCTAGACAGTTCCGAATAGGGGAATTAGATGAATAGAAATTTAGATCAATTTGATACCCTTGCCTCAGGGATAACCCCTCTCTGTCCCTTCACACACTGGGTACAGGATGTGGTATACCAGAAACTTCTGCTTAAATTGTTTTCAGAGGGTGAGAAGGTAAAGAGACAGGTGACAGATACGTACGAAGGAGACAGAGGGAGAATGTAACCATGTGAAGACAACCTGCCGTCCCGTTTGAGACGCTCCGAGCGGAAGTTTTCATAGTGAAGATCCTGGGTCACCTCCTGCAGGTCCTGCATGTGCGTGCTAAACAGGTTAAAGGGAAAGAAAAAGTGCCATTAGAACCAGAGGCTTTTAGGAACAAACTATGTGATGCTACTAAATTAGCCTTCTCAAACAGAATAGGACCAAATAGCAACATTTCATTTGAAGATTTTTGTTAAGAATAGCCTGAAGTCAAAACTTTTCATCTTGCACTTGCCAGAACTAGGACATAAGAAACAGGCTTGTAAAGAGGGACAGAATAAATAGAGGGTGCTCGTTGATCGGATGATTATTGGCTAGATCAGCAGCAACAGTTAACTGCCAAACTTAATTCTCAGACCAGGCAGATAAATTCTGATCAGTCAGAGCATTGCCATGGGGATGCTGCAAAGTTTGGCTTTTTGAAAAAGATGCAATGTACATACAAATTCCTCTTGCCTACATAAACAGGGTGTTAAGTATTTATGCATCCAGCATCACCCTGCAGACTTGACTGATAATAATCTTAATCTGGATTGGGTCAATAATTTCGCTAGAAACCAGTTTATTTATTAATGACTTCCAAAAGTAGAATCACATCAAATGGTGGAAACGCTTTTCTATGGCTTGAAAGCACAGGTCGAGCATGATTTGCATGCTGCTGGCTACAAATGGTGAACTCCATGGTGTTGTTTGATAATGGTCCACCAGTCATGTTATTCGAACCCATTCCCCGAATATTAGCCTGGACATCGAGCATTAGTCCAGTACATTACTATTGTACCACAGACTTCCCTCAACATCCATCTGAATGCTGATTTAGGGGTACATGCATCAACATTACTATGCCATATGTAGCCAAAGCACTTACATGAGCATTGTTCTTAGCTTCAAGAAATCGTTGTGCTCTGGATTCTCCACCTCCACCACTCCCCATGGATACAGACGCCCTCGGACTTTTTTACCTTTTGCCTCAATCAACTGATTTGATCCAACCACAGCAAAAGGAATACTGGCCTGTATTCACAAGATAGAACACTTCAGGGCAACATCATAGCTGTTCCAAGACAGACCCACCGGAAAAAGAAACCCTCCATGGCTTCTGCTGCCAAGACTTAGATATGTTTGACCAAAATCCTCAGTTGTGCAGTATACTGCAAAAACTCAAATACATCAATCCAAGACTAGGTATGATCTTATACTTCTGTTCCTGGAGACAGCAGATGTACAAACCTGAAAGATTACTTACTGATTGGTCCACCATACATACTAATCATGTGTAATGGATACCAAAGCAAGTGAGTTAACATTATCATACCTCAGAAACAAACTTAGTTTCTCTTTCTGGAGGAGGACTGAGCTAAAGTTCGAAAAATCTCAAAAAGGACAGTGTGCTAATTTATTCTCTCTCATTTCCCAAAAGATAACTAAATCTTCAGTTTCTCTGTCCTTTACTTTTTACACATCAATAAACAGACATGGATTGCCCAACACCAAGGTCTAACTTAATTGACGTTGATTAAATTGCATCACAAAACCCTATCATAACTCAAGGACAAAAGTGCAGACTGTCTTATTGACTCATTATTAAGAATTAGAATTTGACACTGACATGTCTTAGCAGCAAAAAAAAAAGAGGTTTTCTTCTTAAAAATGACTATGCAATGTTCACAGAAATGGATGAGGATTGATTCATATAAAGATGTCTTATTAACTTAAAGCTGTTGACTGCTAGCTGAGCAACTGAAGCAACAGTTAAAAGTATATTCATTAGATATTTTAAACATGATTTTTATTTCTATTTGAAAGTTTATTGCATTAGATGTAGATGCTGAGCCACAATGAGGATCACTACATCAGTGTTGCCTCTGCTGTATTTCAGGTATTAGTAACAATCAACTACAGAAGAAATCCCACTAAAAACTGTATATTTGAGTATCAGATCAATACATTTGGTGTGTGATATTCAATCATTTCTAGATACTTCCACTAAACAATGAAAGATATCTACTACTTCATTCAACATTGCTCAAGTTTAAAATGACTATTCAGGTACATCCAAAATGGAGAAATTCTGTAAATTTCCATTTTCCACATGACAGTAGTTAATTTTGCAAATTCTGCTATTGTTCTGTTGAAATGTTGCTGGCAAACTATACGAATGGAAGACAATGATCTACAAGCTCTTAGGAATTGCTAAATAATTTAAAAATCACTTATTTAACTCATTATTGAATGTCAATGGAATTGTTTGATTCTTCTCAGAATCAAGTCTCTTTTTAATTAGTCTAGAAGGTGACACAAAGTCTCAACTTTGACTCTCAGTAAGAAATCAACAGGTTTCCAACTCAGTGTTAGCCAATTTTTTCAAATTCTTCAAATTGTTAGTTGGACTATATTTAAATTATTAGTAGAGGGAAGCTCCCTGAATTCTGTCCTCTAGTCTGAATTCACAGTTGAAACTTTTATGCAATATTTGCCCATGTATAATGTAATGCAACCTTAAAAGAACTGACCAATTCATTTTCTTTAAATTGTCAACAATGGCTAGAATAAACCAACCCAAATATGACTGCAACAAGAGGTTATTTCACTAAAGGGCAAAATGAAATAAACTCAGATGATGTCAAATGAATGAGGGCCCAACATTACTATTTGGACAGCAGCTCACTTATTTTCAGGTGGAAGTTGACCTACAAGGCTGACCATTTCCCAATGCAACAGCAAGAAATCTGTTCCTTGTCTCCCCTGCCAGTTATCCATCAATCACAACTTCAGGTTTTAATTCCTGCTTTTAAGTACCTTAAGGATTCGGGTTTGCTCCTTGAAATCCTCATCCTCATCAGACTCCGCATCTGGAAGGTGGTATATCCTAATACTGTGTTCCTCTATCTCATCGAGGATCTTAAAAAAAAAGAGATGAAATTAACAAAGGAGGCTCAGCTCAACAATCAAGCCACTGCCTCATGCTAGTTAAAGAATTGAAATTCAATTGAGACTTTTAAGTTTGGGAATCAGAGCTATCTACGCATCGTAAAGCTCATAGGCAATGGCAACTGAATACAGAATGTGGCTTTATGCCTTTTTTCATGAGACAATTCAGTTTCTTCATATCAATGTCCTTGCTCATTAGCAACATCTACAAAAAGATACATACTAGCATACTTAAGTAATGCTACAAACCAAGACTGAACTGGAGAGCTATCCGATTTCTCTCTACAAACAACTTATTCTTAAAATGGCTTCAGATATGGGATCAAATCATTAAGCCAGCTTCATGGCAGAATGACGGAATAACAGAGTCAAGTATGCATTCAGTTCTTCCACATTTTGCTCAGTTTGCTTTCACACAATTAATGGAGAAAGATAACAGGTATCAAGCTTTTCTTAGGAGGGCTACAAAGAGGTGATTTGCTTAGACTTAGGTTTTGAGGATTCAGTTCTAAACATTAAGGCTGGGGAAACAAGGATTTTGCCAATAGTGTGGACCTTGTGAAACAAATGGCCCATTTCCATGCTGTTGATTCCCTCCCCACCTGCAATATCTAACTATTTATCCTGTGCAGCGTTGGTTCATTTCGCATTCTATTAAATTTCAGGCTCAGTCAATAAGAACCAGCCGAAATTTCCCATGAAATACCATCTTATTAGTTTGAAATGTAAATATTCCACCAACTACAAAGGATCAACCATAACTCTATTCCAGTACAACAGCTCACTGAAGAGTCCAGTAACCATAGCATTTTTAAAAATTCATTTACAGGAGGAGAGTGTTGCTGGCTAGGCCAGCATTTATTGCCCAGAAGGCAGTAAAGAGTCAACCACATTTCTGTGGGTCTGGAGTCACATGTAGACCAGGGAAAGATGGCAGTTTCCTTCCCTAAAGGGCATTGGTGAACAAGATGGGTTTTGCCTGACAATTGAGAATTAGACTCTTAATTCCAGATATTTTTAAATTCAATTCAAATTCCACAATATGCCATGGTGGGATTTGAACCCGGATCTGCAGAACATGACTTGGGACTCTGGATTAACAGTCCAGCTATAATGCCACTAGGCCATCACCTCTCCTCAAATGATATGTAACGTATGTCATCTGTCAACACTTTGACAGTGGATATTGTTCCAGACTAGGAATAGATACATTCTTGTTCCATGTCCTCCTTTATTTTGCGGTTAGGCAATGATGGGCTATACTGAAGTCTATTTTACTGGCCTTTGAATGCATGTAATACTATGCTCATAGCACTGGAAGTCCATAGCAGTTAAGTGTCTGGTAAGAGTAGCCAGTCAACTAGAAAACTAGTGTTTCTGGAAATGAATTCCATCCTTAATAGCATAGTGGGTCAACCCTCAGCAAATGGTCTACAGCGGTTCAAGACGACAGCTCACCACTGCCTTCTCAAGGGCAACTGAGGACAGGCAATAAATGCTGGCCCAGCCAGCAACACCTACAACCCACAAATGAATTTCAAAAAGCATTCCAACTTGGTCCCACAGAATTCAAAATTTTGTTGACCCTGTCACACAGTCAGTTCCCAGAACTCATTCACTAGAAAACTCACTTTGTTTATTTCAAACACAACCCAGCAATAAATGCACAGTTAACTTGAGAAAATATTTTCAGTTAAATAAATGGGAACCCTGTTATAAAACAAATAGGCAAACAGTGGGCCTAATTATGGCTCAAAAAAGAGATCTGTGGAGGCAAAATGAATGCGTGAGGTATTAAAAGATTAGTTGAAACTAATTTTCATCCAAAAGGATGCTGTCAATATAGCAATAAGGACAGAAATGACATGGAGTAGAATAAAAATGTTTCTCAGTGTGGATTTTGGGACGTATTCATGTTTGGCAAGGGAGGCATGAGCGGAAACTGTGGAGTAACTGGTCATAATCTTCAAATCCTCCTTTGGATGTGTAGCTAAAGGACTGGAATGTTCTGTTTAAAAAAGAGAGAAGGGGATAAACCAGCTGTTGCAGGTCAACACCTTGTGAGGAAATCTGCAATTTCATAACCCAAACCAGACAACATTTTTCAAATGCATATAAGCAGTGACTTGCTAAAGCTAATTCATATTGGACCAAATTCAGTGTAATTTTATGAGGCAGTAATAAAGGACAACGCAGTTGATTATACATAGATAGGCAACCACACACAGGGTTCAACAAAACATCACCTCAAGATTTGTCAGTGAACTAAGATTTATGGGTAGTAACATCAAGACAAAATTAGCTAAGGGGCAGAAAGTAGTGGATGGCACCAAAGTGCCAGTACTGGCACAGTGGCCAAACTGACTCCTCCCATGATGTACAGTTCTATCAGAGCAACTTCAAATTTCGAAACAAACCATTTTCATACATGATTAAATCAACCAAGTGTCTGAAAAAAAAAGAAAGGTGTGTAAATAATCATGACCCCTAATGCTACTGTCCCTTTTATTCCATGGACATCAGCTTTGTTAGCAAGCCTATCATGTAGCACCTTATCAAAGCCTTCTAGAAGTCTATACACAATCATGTTACTGTCATAAAACCCTCAATGTGAAAAAAAGAGTTAGCTAAATGCAAGTTATCCACAACAAATCTATTCCACCTCGCCACAATTAATCCACCGTTGTCCAAATGACTTAATTTTGTACTGCGCTATTCTTTCAAAGCTTATCCAGCAGCAAGGTTAAAAGGACTGGTCTATAGCTTATTCCTCCAATTTTTTTTGAAGAAGGGCGGAACATTTGCATTCTTCAGCCCTCTACACCCACCTTGCACCCATGGAACACTGGAAGATGACAGTCTGTATCTCTGCAACTTCCATCCTTACTTCCCTTAGCATGTGCAGATGTAATCCCTCTGGCCCTGCTGATTTATCAGCTTTAGGTATGGTCGGTTTTTTTTCTGAATATGTAATTGGACTTCATATACAAACCCATACAGAACAAAACTGGAAATGTCACAACTCACCATAACAGACCAGACAGTATAAATTCCAAGCAGAGTAGAACAACATCTTTTCATCGGCAGCCTCACTGATGACGTTACCTAGCATAGTGACGAAATGTCTGAACGAAAACAAGCCAGCTCGGCGAGCAAGTCAACAACATGTGGCCAATTTTTTTTTTGCATTTCTTCTAGCAATGCTTAGCCCATTCTTCCTCTTTCATTCAGGCTTCTTCCTTGTACTAAGTTACTATGCATCTGTAACATCTGTCTCTCACGTAAAATTCTGTTTTTTGAACCCAAAAATCAGCCTCACACCTCTTCTTACTGTCCGTCTAGTATCGGAAAATCTATGGACAACATCTGGATTCCTTTTACATGAACCATTGGCTCTCTTCCCATATTTTCTCTTTGCTTTTCTTTCTTCTTCAACTTCCTGCCAAATCGTCTCGATTCGACCTGGTTCTTACTTGTATTTTTCTGAAGGGTATAGGCCCGAAACGTCAGCCTTCCTGCTCCTCTGATGCTGCTTGGCCTGCTGTGTTCATCCAGCTCTACACCTTGTTATTTCTTACTTGTATTAGCCATCTGACATCAATCATATGCACCCATTATAATCTCCATAGAAGCCAGTAACAATTAAAATGAAGTTGAACATTATTTAATAGCTGGAATAATATTGTCTCAAGATTTCACTTTTGTTTAACTCATTCAGGGTTGTGGGCATCAATGGCTAGACCAGCATTTATTGCCCATCCCTAATTACCATTTAACAAAGTAGCTTATTGGGGTCATTTCAGAGGGCCGTTAGAAGTCAACACATTACTATGGGTCTGGAGTCACCTACAAAGATGGCAGATTTTGTTTCCAAAAGGATACTACCCAAGCAGATTTTGTTGAAAATGGCAAACAGTGGTTACATTGTCATACTAGATTTTGAATCTAATAACAAGTCCGAAATAAAATTTCACCCTGTACACCAGAATATTTGTCTGGGCTTCTGGATTTCTAGTCCAGTGACATGACCACTTTGACACCATCCACCACATTTTAAAGGCATGTATTGCAACAAAAAGAAAAAGGCTAAGGCTTAAATCGACTAAACACTAGTTATAGCCAATTTGTACTTTAAACCACAGAACGGAATGCTCACCCGCTTCATACTCTTAGCCTAAATCAGGGGGAAAAAAACTTCAAGAAGAGGTATATGCTATGCATCATCCTTTTTGTAAGCATTCAATTTTCTCAGAATGAATCCAAAGTGATCCTTAGCTCCTGAGGGTTTCTGACTCTTTTGCCATCCTAATTTGCAACTAGCACAAGTAAAACTGTTCTGTCAAAAGGAGGCTCTTTTCAGAGAGACTCACTTCAGCTAAAGCTAGGCAACTTACTTAGCCTCATTTTAACTCATCCCAAATTTAGTCTTTTCAATCCAAGTGAGGGAGGTCACCAATACTCCTACACAGTTCACCAGCGGGACTTTTTTTTTGGCCGTTTGCCTGGTTCTAGAAGAGATGGAGCAGCCGACTCCAAACAGTGATATTCTGGAAAAGCCCATAAGTAGATCTTTATAATGGTTTCCTGCACATCTGTGTGGATGGCAATACAAATCATACAGGCCATGTAAACTAGGTAGAAATACATGGGAACCTAACGCTTCCGTCGAGAAACGAGTACAACTGTTCATAAGCCTGATATTTGAAACACTTCTGGAACTTAAGACTTTCTCAGTCTCTAGTGAACTCGTACAGAAACGCAGTAGGGAGTGATCATCTGGGGCCTTGCGTCTGCTGTTATTTGATCAGGATTGCGAACTCAACTGTCCATGTCTTATACCTTGTGGCTTAGTCCAAAAACACCATCCAACACAGCCTTAAAAATATGCAGTGACCTGTCTTGGACTTCCCATGTAAATGCAACAGTCAAGGCGGCACAACAACGCCTCTTCTTCCTCAGGCAGCTCAAGAAATTTGACGGGTCCATAAGATCCCTCACCAACTACTACAGATGCACCACTGAAAGCATACTTTGGGGGTGCATAATGGCCTGATATGGCAACTGCTCTGCTCAGGGCCGTAAGAAACTACAGAAGGTGGTGTGCCCAGCCCAGACCATCACGGAAGCCAATCTTTCACCCATGGACTCTAGTTACACGGCCTGCAGCCCCAGAAAGGCAGCCAACATCCTCAAAAACCCATTGGACCCTGGTAATGATCTCCTACAACCTCTTCAGTCAGGCAGAAGATACAGAAACCCGAATACACGCATAAGCAGGTTCAAAAACAGCTTCTTTCTGGCAGTTATCAGACTGTTGAGTGGACTCGAGCCTCAAATAATGTAACCTGTATGCCTCAAAGTCTTTTTGATCTGTACATTCTTTGCTTGCTGTCATCTGCCTGTACCGCTCATAAACAAAGCTTTTCACTACTTTGGTACACATGATAATAAATCAATGACCCCTGTCTTGACTGCTTTCCAAGAGAATTCCACAGATTAACAAACCTCAAATTTGTTCCAATTGACATACTAAATGAAAGACCCTGTATTTTTAACTAGGTTCCTTAGCTCTACTTTCTCTTCGGGAGACACATCCTTGCAGTATCCACACTATCAAGTCCAGTTCAGATTTTATGTTCCAGTATGACCTCTCATTCTTCTAAATTCCAATGATTTTAGGCCCATTGTGTAAATCTTTCCTCAAGTTCTTATGCCTGGAAGCATTTAAATGAATCTTCCCCAAATGGCTTCTAATGCAATTATATCAGTTTCCAAAAAAGGAGACCAAAAATGCACACATTTCTCCAGTGGTCTCACAAACATCTGGTAAAACTTACAGAAAAAACATCTGTACTTTTACATCTATGTTTTGCATTAGATGACAACATTCCAGTTACCTTCCTATTCATTTGCTCTACCTGCATACTAACTTTAGTGACTCATGTACCAGAATGTCCACATCACCAGGTTGTAAAGTTCTGCAGTCTCCCTCCATTTAAATAGTATTCCAGGTGCAAAATTTCACAAGTGATACCACCTGGGGAAATAGGTGGGCTCCATTTAAACAATATGTTTGACCTTACGGTTTTAGTCATCTTTATGCCTCTCACTACGTAATGCTCCAAATCCTGACAGAATTAGGAACTGATTGTGTGGGAACTTAGACAGAGAACTGTGACAAGTCCAATGTGCTGCATTTGGCTGAATAAACCTTCAGCACATTTTTTTCAATAGATTGTTCTTTGTAGTGTCATGTTCTTCAGTTGTAAATGATCATTTGATAGAAGTATTCTTGTGAAATTTTGCACCTGGAATAGTATTTAAATAGGGAGAGATTGCAGAGTGTGAGAAACGAGCAGCTAACTTCCAAGCAGCTCATGAATGGAAGCTCAAGAACAACACACATTACCAACAGACCAGGGTATGGAAAGATGGCACTCCTGAGACTGAGGCATCATCACCATACATCAATTTCACACTAATAATAGAGCTCAAATTTCTTCATGAAATTTGAGAAACCCTGTAAATTTCCAAACACTTGTTACTGTACCTACCCTTCTTTTGAGTCTCTCTCTTTCTTTCAGTGTAAGGGTGTCTGCCTTTGCAATGACAGGAACAACATTCACTTTATTGTGTATAGCTTTCATGAACTCCACATCCAGGGGCTTCAGTCTAAAAAAAAAATACAATTTGATAATACACCACACAGACTTGAGCAAAGTTTGAGCTAATAGAATAATAGGCACAGTAGCAACTTGGAGATAAAATTGGCTGATTAACATGAAATGGCAGTGGAAAATAGCTGTCTTCAGACTAAAGCAATGCTTGTAGGGATCACTGTCAGGACCCCCTACTTTTGATGTTAATGACATATACTTTGGTGTGCAGGGGACAATTTCAAAATTGGCAAACAAAGAAAATTTAGAAATATTATGAACTGTGAGTATAGGTGATCTTCAAAAAGTAGACAGAGACATGTTGGTAAAACAGATGGACAAATGTGACAGATGAAATTTAATACAAAGTGATTCATTTTGATAGGAAGAATAGTGAGGGGGAATAGAAGTATACAATTCTGGAATGAGTGCACAAGAGGAAGAAGCTGGGGAATCCAAATCTAAAGCTGGAAGCACAATCATTGAAGGTGCCAGAGTTGGTTGAGAGAACAATAAAAGCACATGGGCCTTGCTTTAATAAATAGGAACAGAGTAATCAAAAGCAAGGAAGTTATGGTGAATCCTTCAAAATACTCTAGCTTAACCTCAATCGGCATAGCCATCAGTTCTTGGCATCAGATTTTAGCAAAGATGTGCAGGTATTAGAGTGTAGAAAAGACTCCTGGAACAGTTTTCATAAAGGAAGAAATTTCAGTTGTGCAGATAGATTGCGGAAGTTGGCACTTTTCTCCTTAGATACAGGAAGGTTGAAAAGAGATGTTGGATAGAGGTATTCAAAAATTATGAGGGGTCTTGAACAGATTAGATGGGGATGAACTGTTCTCACTGGTCAGATTAGGAACCAGAGGACATTGAATTAAAGTGATTGACAAAAGCAGCAATAGCAACATAAAAAGGTGTTACTTTTATATAAACAGAGCAAATATTTGTAGGTCTCAAACGCAATCGTCGATTGTGTGGTGGAAGCAGATTTAATCATAGCTTTCAAAATGGAATTAGATAAATTGGCTGAAGAGCAAAAGAAATTATATGGTTGGAGGAAAAAAAAAGGACCCTAACTAGATGAACTGTTCTTGCAGAGAAGGGACACAGACACAGCAGGCCAAATGGTCCCCTTCTGTATTGTATCCAATGATTCTATTAACAGATAATGAGAAGTGTTTGCTGACACGCAAATTTAAGCACTGCTGTGGCTCCTAATCTGGAGTTTTCCTTCAATATGCTTGGTTCACTGAAAGGGAGAGAATGTACAACAAAACGATATAGATAATATTTTAATTTTATGGACAGATACCAGACACTCTCATTCTCACTTCAGGAGGCATACTGACCAGGTTATCACTCATGCCAAAAAAGTTTGCGGTTGCATTCACCAAATTTTTCATTCCTGACCAGAGATTAGATGTACAATTGCACAATACTTTAAAAGTTCATTTGATAGTTCGAGCCATGTCAATAATCTGAAGCAAAATGAACATTACAATGACCGAGGCATTCTGCTTCTATACTGCAGTTTTCCTGTGACAGTCAGTATCAAATTATTTTATTACACTGAACCAGGAATCACGCTTACCCATGACCAAAAGGAGAGATGAAATAAAAGCAACAGTGGACCCGGTTATCAATAATATGCCGTCTGTTCAATCCACTTTCATCATGAAGGTACCGCTCAAACTGGTCATCAATATATGAAATAATTGTCTTAAAACTGAAAAATATCAAAACAATGATCAACAAACTGGACAGGGACAAGCAAACCTTCTATAAAAAACTCAAACTTGGAATCCAAGTGATTTACAAGATGTCTACGAGGTGGATATTGCAGCAATTCTTCAAAAGTTACTCAGTATGTCAAATCATATTATGCTCAACATTTACTCCAGAAATCCCAGTAATAAACTGCTACAAGCTGCAGATATGGCAGCCCATGACAGTGCCAATGTCAACAACACCACTGATATATGTACTACAGCTGTCAGCTATTGAAAATAAAACAGGTGTGCATCATTGCGCGAGCAGAGCAGCGGCACCTTTTACATGCAGATTTACAAATCATTAAAAATGGCAGCAAGTGCTCTTAAATATGTAGACTTTTATGACACTTGCAGGACCGCCCAGCTAACAGATCACTAGAAACCAAAACTTAAAAAATTGCTTCTTGAAACTTGGATCACAAAAGCCATTCCAATTGCAATTTACAACAAGCTAGGATACCAGTCCTGGCTGTTGATAGCATCCCCATATCCTGGTGTGTCGACCACAGTCAGGCGCAGCTTCACACCACGCTCCTCAATCTCAACAGTCGAAGCCTCAATCTGGACTGTTCTTTCAATTTTCTCTGCAATAAAGACAAATGCTTATGAGCCACGGTGCGACCAAACTGATGTTTCATTAATAGTGTTTGGGTTTTTCCACATATAACGAGCATTGGAATCAACAGTAGACCATTTGGCTCTTTAATCTTCCTCTGGTCATTGCTGATCAATGTGTTCCAAAGTCCACATTCTAATGCTACACCAATAATCCTTCGCTCCCCTAACAATAATCTTAGCCTTAGATATTCAATGACCCACCTCCACTGCCTTCTGACACTGTGCTCCAAAGTCTCTCAAACTGCAAGAAAAGTTTCCCCTGATCTTTGTCCTACAAATTTTAAAAAAGTGCCCCCTAATCATGGACTCACCCACAAGTGGAAACATCCTATGTCCATTGTGTTAATACATTAGATGACAACAGTCTGGAGGAATGCCTGAGACCTATTAGAATGGAGGGAAAAGGTGATGGATAGATTAAGGGCTTGAATTAGTTACACAAATATGGGGGAATAGTAATCAGTAAATGAGATTATGATTGTAGCTAATTGAAGCTATGCAAGTTTAGACTGGAATTTTGTTTAAATCATTATCTTTTGGAGTAGAACATTGGCAGAGAATGGCTCATTGGTAACACTACAAAAGGAAGAACTGTAACTAAATAGAAATGAGGACAAAACACTTATAATTGAGAGGTGAAGAGAATTTGGGATTTACAATAACTAAATCAACCCCAGAAGAAATGTTCAGGGTATAGTTGATTTATGTAGGGCTCTTGTGGTGCAGTGCTGGTATCCTTAACTCTGAGGCAGGAGCCCAGGTCCAAGTCCCACCTGCTCCACAGAGGTGTATGAACAGTTATTGTCATCAGAGAGTAAAAAAATTAGAAGACAAAGCTAACAGCATTAAAACTGCTTTGGCAACTTAATCATCTATCTTCTACAAGATTAAAATTTTCAGCAAAGGATGCAGAAATAAAAGGAAGAGAAAGGTACTAGTGATAGATGTGAGATTTGAAAGAAATACTGAAGGACAGTAATCACAACAAATAGTATGTCTGCCCCGCAGAAAGAGTATTGATGGTCGAGCAATGGAGTTACGGGCATGGGATAAAGAAATCAAACATTTTATGTCTTTGTAGATTTGGCAACCCTATTGGTCAGTTAACAATAATACATAGGAGAGATAAGAAAATAAATTTTGGACAAGGTGATGCAAAAGGGAGTAGGGACCAGACTGGGGGTGGGGCTGGGAGAGCGGGAGAGCGCGAGAGCCAGCGAACTTACAGAGGCCTAAATGTGAGCATTACAATTTGACTTATGTTAGCAGAAAGACTTTTTACAAATGGAGTATGTGAATAGAACCATGCAGTGGCAGACAAATTGTTCAAAATGCTGGGAGATCAGCCAAACTTAAAAAAAACAAACAAAAAACTTCCACTATCAAAAAAAAAAAAAACTTATCTGCACAAACGTGGGCTGTACATGCTAAGAATTTTTTGCAGATAGTGGAAGACTACAGTCCATACGAGTTAGTTTGTTGAGAATCTTCAAATCACATCAGCAATATTGATCAGTTTCCAGGTTGGAAAGGTGCTACAATTAATTGAAAAGACCGCAAACAGGAGAATGGCTTTCATGAAAGCTAAAGGTTCAAAGAATTTAGTGAGCCTCAAGGAGGAAGGCAAGGCCATCAGAATCATTTTCAATTTGGGGGCAACAGGAGCGTGGGGCGAGTCGAGAGCAAGGGTGAGTTTTAAAGAATGGAGGTACCCCAAAAAAGGTTACTGGCAACGACAGAAAGATAATAATTGTAAAGCATGGGAATCAGATTGTTTGGGTACACTCTTCAAGATTACTTGGTATGGATTACATAATTTCAAAATCTAGAGGAATTATAGAAAATAGTGAGGCACCAGGTACTTCTCATATCCAAACGTTGCACAGACAAGAATATCAAACTGACAATTTACTAAAATTGCTGGAGAAACTCAGCAGGTTTGAAGCACGTGTGGACACAGAGTTAATATCATGAGTCTAATACGACTTCTTCAGATCTGAAAAGGGTTAGAAAATGGTGGCTTTTATACTTTTGACACAGGCAGAGGAGCAATGAGGGAAACTGGTGCTGTAGTAATTCAGTACAGAAGACAAAGGGATTGCTAATTGTGGTGAAAGCAGAGACGTAAAAAACGGATAGAAATTAAAGCTATGGAAGGGAGAAAATGGATCCTCTCGCCGAGAGCCACGCAAAACAAGAGGGTGGGGGGGAATGGGTTGGAGGAGAAAGGATAGACAGTTGAACTACGTTACTTTAGTGAAAAGTTAGCATTAGTCTCAGATCAGAAGTCTTGGGGATAAAAGATTGAAGAGGTTTCTGAAAACTGAGAACATTGAACCTCAGGTTCACTATTCCTTCTTCCTGGAGCTACCTGCAATTCCAGTCTAAAAGTTAAAATCACAAGTGACGTAAACCTAAGATGTTAGATACATGAACGCTGATGAGTGTAGTGTACAAATTGTATTTTGGGTACAAAACAAATACTGATTTTCTTTTAATTTAATTTAATTTAAGAAATGATTTGGGATTAATGAGATTATACTAAGTGTTTTACAAAATCTTTGAATTTGTACAAGTAGATGGTTTAGTTCATTATATTTTGTCTTTGTTTCTTTTAATAAATTTCTTATTGTTAAAGCAAAATGTACAACAATGTTCATGTTTCAGCGACAGACCATTTAGTTAAAAATAAAACAAAAACAAACCAAAGCATGGCTTGATAGGACAAGTTTCATTCTGAGATCTTACTTGCCCAAAGTAACATTATAATTCTGGAGGTCAAAGTAGAAAGATGGGAGTAAAGAAATCTCAGTGTAATCTTGAACAGCAGGTCCAGGAGCAAACATGCCCTCAAAAGAGGCCACAAACCATTGAAAGAAATCATATTGATAGGAGGAGAGAGCTAGAACAGCAGATAAAAGCAAAACTAAAGCATGTGGTTCAACAAGAACAAGAAACAATACAAACTAGGATTCTCATCAGGACCAGAAGCCCAAGCGGTCCGGAAGTCAGAATCAATATACATATCACAGAAAGAGGCTCTTTGGCTCATTGTATCTGTTCCGGTTAAACATCTGTCTATTCTAATCCCATTTTCCAACATTTAGCCCTGTACGTTACAAGCGCTCATTTAAATACTACCTAAAATGTTTGAGGGTTCTTGTCTCTACCACCCTTTTAGGTGGAGTTCCAGAGACTTGCAACTCTCCAGGTTCTCAAATCCCCTCAAAACCCCCTGCTCCTTCCCTTAAAACTGTGTCTCCAGTTAATGACTCCCCTAAGGGGAAAGTTTTTTTTTCTAAATAAAACCTCTAAACTGCCTACACCCTTCAGAACTTTGTACACCTCAATCAGGGGTCCCTTCAGCCTTCCCCACTGTAAGGAAAAGCCTCTGATGAAGGGTCTAGGCCCAAAACGTCAGCCTTTCTACTCCTATGATGCTGCTTGGCCTGCCGTGTTCATCCAGCTCTGCACCTTGTTGTCCCAGCTTATCTAGTGTCTCTTCGTAGCTGAATTGCTCCAGCCTAAGCAACATCCTGATGGTGAATCTCCTCTGCACCCGCTCTAGTTCAATTACATCCTTCCTATAGTGTGGCAGCCAGAACTGCACACAGTAGTCCAGCTCTGGCCTGACTAGTATCATGCACAAGTCTGTCACAACCTCCTTGCTTCTGTATTCAATTTGGACCAAAAGGTAAATATTCCATTTGCCTTCATAACCACCTTGTTTATTACTGTACTATTGCCTTCAAGGATCTGCTGAAATTCACACCCAGTAGTTTTAAATCCTCCATTTCCTGTGGAGTGAGGGCAGTGAATTTGAAAACATTGTTATAAATGGACTCAAAACCCATTCATCCCAATTCTTTTTTTGCTCTGTGCATTAATGATCCTTAATAATACATTGATGAGTTGCTCAGCAGCTGCGTTAGGGAACTCTTAACTGCAACAAATTTGAAAAACAAAATTTCCAAACTAGCTCAGGATAAAGGAAGATTCTAAGAGCACAAGAGGAGTAGCTAATTTGAGTGCAAGGTGAAAAAAAATTCTGATTTGTACTAATCTCCAGTTTTGTTAATAGCACAAAAGTAAGGTCACAGTAATTCGAGTTACAGTAAGTAAGTAAGTAACTTAAAAGTTAAAGTCATGACCAAGTGGAAAGTCCACTTTGTGGCATGTGGGGAGCAGTGGACAATTCCTAGATGAGCCCACGTGCATGACATGTCACTAGCTGCACAAGGTGAAGCACTGGGTTTCAGAGCTTGAGCAGATGCTGTCACTGAGATGCATCTATGAGGCAGAGGACTACGTGGATACCATGCTCAGAGAGGTGGTTACACTGCAAGCTGGGGGAAGGACAAACAGGCAGATACTGCAGAAGACCCCAGAGGAATCCCGCTCACTAACTTGTTTCCCATTTTGTACATCAGGGAGCTGATGGATCCTTGAACGAGTGTAGCAAGAGCAAAGGCTGTGGCATCACGGCTGGTCCAGCTGTACAGGTGGGGAAGAGGAGTAGAAGGACAGTACTGACAAGGAATTCTTTAGTTTTGGGAATAGACAGGCACGCGATTCCAAGACAATTGTCGCTTCACTGGTGCTATGGTCAGTGATATCACAGGAGAGTGAACAGGCAGAGATCATAGTCCACATTGGTATGAGGGGAAAGGGCGATACGGTCTTGCAACTGGAATTTAGGGAGCTAGGTAGAAAATTACTACTTTAGGAGGTCCTGTTTGCCAATCTTCGGATTATTTCCAGTGCCACATACAGATGAGTACAGAAATGGGAAGACATGACTGATGACTGTGTGGCTGGGAAGATGGAGCAGAAAGGAGAGCTTTTGATTCCTGAAGTGACTCTGGGGAAAACAGCACCTGTACAGAACCAGGACTGAACTCTTTGTGAAGCGTCTTGCTAGTGCTGGAGGAACAAAATACAGAATGATTCCAGGGGCAGTTATAAGGATAGATTGGAGGGGTTGGGTTTGATTTCCTCAGAGAGGAGACAGCTAAGAGGAGATATGATAGTTTGCAAAACCATGGTCAGAGTGGTTGGGGAGAAACTGTTGCCACTTCTAAACAGATCAATAACCATAAAGCAGAGTTTTAAAGAAGTTAAGAGGTGAGGAAAAGTGCTTTCACATAGCAAGTAGATAGAGTATGGAATGAACTGACTGGAAATTCACTCAGGCATTCAAGGTTGTGTTTGATGATTATTTAAACAAAAACAACGTGCAGGGTTACAGGGGAAGAAAAAAGATTGACATTAAGTTAAACTGCTCAGAAAGCCAGTGGGCCAAATGGCCTCCTTCTGCACTCTAATATTTCAGATTCTGTGATCTGTCCAGCACACAAATCTAACAACTAATACTAACATGACAGCTCATGAGAAAAACTCCTCTTCCCCTCTCCTCAGAAACTAATATCAAATCAGATCCCCCACATGTAACCAACATTTCTCTCAGCTCAAACACTGTTTGAATAATGTGTATGTGTGTTTAACGATACAGTTACATAAAGGTACATCAGCAGCACCTTACCTGCAGCTCCAGGTATAACTCTCTCAGGATAGAGGTCAGTCAGAAAGAGGCTGTTTATTAACGTCGATTTGCCCAAGCCAGACTCACCTACATATAAAACAAACAAGTTAAAATAGATGATAATCAGACTTCTAGGAAAACTGAACTACATTCATCAGTGCATACAGTTGCTGCTTAAAATTTACAACTTTCACACAGATTGTTGAGAAAAATCAAGCAACTGAAAATCTACAAGTTGGAATTCTGCAGGCCAAAATAATAACTGTTGTCTTGTTTTCAAACTCCAAGCAGTCCACATGGAATTCCCAAGTGACAGCTGCAAGATTCTACATCAAATCTACAGAAGGCAGTTTGATGGCCCTCAAGTTTATATAGAAATCATAACTGCTCATCTAAACTTATTGCCCGACTGAAGCCTATTATAAAGTCCTCAATGCATTCTAAAGAACTTTGTAGGAACTAGACTGGGTAAATGGGAATCATTTTTGGAAAATGATCACAATGATAGTTACAATGTTGCCTTGTGGTTTCTTCTGATGTTTAGTGATAACGTCAATGACTTTTGGTTTAGATGCAGAGTGTAGCCCCCTGCTAAATACTTCTTAAAATTATATCACAACCTTGGAACTTCATGTTTGTTTGAAATTCAGCCATCAATCAGTAATCAAAGGTAAACATTAATAGAAAAATATAAATAGTCCAGTCTGCAAGTTAAGCGGCAAATGAAATTTAATAAATCTGATCAGTATTGTTGGGGTGAATGGGTGGGTGCTTTATGCATTTGTGTTTCTTCATAATCCCTCTGAAAGGCAGTGCATGGTTCTCCAAAGGACTGACAATTAGGTGTCAATATTTGAAACCAGGTATAAACTTCCATCAGCCTTAGGATTTGCAATTGTTGGTAGAGTGTATTTCTTTTAATCTTCACTCAGACATGTTTTGTTTAGCATATATGCCACCTCTGTGCATGTGCACTATGTGAAATCAAGGAAAATCTAGTAAGAGTAGGCACATTCAGCCCCGAGAACCTGGTCTGCCATTTAATACAATCATGGCTAATTTCATGTCAGTCTCAACTCTACTTTCCTGCCCAGTTTCTATAACCCTTTAACCCATTACTAGTCAAAATCTCCTCAAATTTATTCAAGGTCCCAGCATCTGCCACACTGAGGTAGTGAATGCACAGATTCATGATCCTTTGAGAGAATTAATTATCTGTTTTAAATCTGCCATTATCCTAAAACTATGACCTCTTGTTCTAGATTGCCCAGGAGAGAAAACTTTGTCGATACATCCACTTTATTATTGGCCTTTAGCATCTTATACACCTGAATTAGATCTTTCATTCTTGTAAACCCCAGAGAGTTACTTCACTACCTAAATTTCCATCCTCCCATCAGAAGCACACTTGGAGTACTGGTGCTCAATCCAGTCATGCCAATGCACTTCACAAATGCAGGCCACTGTAAACCAAGGCACTTTATACTGTTGTAATCGCTTCGAATTGTATTTTTTTTCCCCCCCAAATTAATGGCCTATGCCAGCTATGGCAGGGTCCCATGCGCAGAGTTCATCTCATAGCTGTGGAATACAACATTGAAGGAGAAATTCTATCCTACTGAAGAATTATGCTGTGGATTTGAGAACAGAAAGGCTGGGTGAGGAATTCAGTCCAAGACAGACTAGCTAAGATCAGAAACTCAAAATTGATTTTTCTTCCTCTCTTAGCTCTAGCAAGTTGAACAAAGTGGCCTCCGAATGCGACACCATAAAAAATGCCTCCTTCACTGCAGCATTGAAGATTGACTAGGATGTCAGAGATAGAAGTTCAGACATCAGTGTTTATCTCAAGGCTACACGTGAACAAAGGCCCAGAGAAGGTACAGAAGTGATAAAAGATTTGTAGCCAAAGCTGAAATTGTGAACCAAGCTACACAACATTCTACACATCACCAACACATGCAGATCTTCACTGTAATCAATACTCAGTTTTAAAAACTGCATAGAGAACGTACCACTAGGCAAAAATGCATAAAACTGAGTGTGTAGTACTCATAATTTAGATTATGTTTATTAGCCTCAGAACCCTTGAAAGTACAGAGGATCAGAAGAACCTTGAGTGTACATGTCTACAAATACTTGACAATGACAGGACAGGTGTATAAGTTGGTTAAGACATATGGGATACTGATATTCAATGCCTCTGCTAACAAAGGCAAGAGCAGGGAGGTAATTGTGGCAAGAAATCAGAGTTAATATTTTGGGTCCAGGACCTTCCTCAGAACTGGTGGTAGCTAGGAAAAAAGTTGTTTTTTCTGCTGAAGACATTTTTTTTGGGGGAGCTGTTTGTGGGAGGGGTGTGTTTAAAATGATAAGTAGAGGTAGAGCTCAAATACAGACAAGGACAGCTGGACAGAATGGAATGAATAAGGGTTAGCTTAGGAGAATGAATAGCTACTAATGGAGGACTGTAGACTGGTGTCAACACGCTAGCTTGTCCCTTGGGAACTCTACAGCCTTCTTGACTCAATAACAAGTTCAATAATTTTAGGGCTTGAGGCACCTTCTCCCATGTCCTTAACCCAATCCCCACACACCAGGCCTTGTTATCACAGGAGCTGCTATTAACACAACTCATTATTAGCCACTAATAGTCCCCATTCATAGCTATTCATTCTCCTAGGCTGTTTTTATTCACTCCTTTGTCTGTCCAACTGTTCTTCTCACTCTTCAGGCTCTATCTCCACCTATTGTTTATGCCTTACCCCCTCCCCCCACCTTATCTTCTGCATTAAAAAACACTTTCCTAGCTACCATCCATTCGGAGGAAGGGTCACTGGGCCTGAAATGTTAACTCTGATTTCTGTCCACAAATGCTGCAAGACCTGCTGAGATTTTCCAAGAATTTCTGATTTTGATCCTTCCTTTTACATTCAATTCCTGTCATAGAAAGCATAGCATTCCACTAGCCCACTACTGACTTGCTTAACTGCATGTTAACTTTGTCACTTGTACATTATAACACGTAGAACCCTCTGCATCTTCAAATTCTGTAGTGCTTTGTTGAAGTAATATTCAGCCTTTCTTTGTTTAATCTTCCTGCCAAAATGAACAATTTCATATTTCCCCACATTATATTCCACCGACCACATTTTTGCCCACTCAACTTGTGTGCAGCTGTATGTTCTCTTCACAACATACTTTCCTTCCCATCTTTGGCTCATCTGCAAATGTAACAATCATGCCTACACTCTCCTCACCCAAGTCATTGATATAAATCAGTGCTCCCCAACACACTCAGATTTTGGGAATCCCTGGTATAAACCGTATAAAGCAAAGACCAATGTGGATTCAACTCATTGCCATCTGCAAATAAAAACTCCATTTCGGCATGCTTTCAGTCAGACAGACGGCCAATCACCTTAACCTCACTGTTCTGATGGATTCTGAGAAAGGAATGACAAGACAAAGTGGAGAACATAAAAATTAAACTAAACAGCAGAGAGCTAGAGCTAAATGTATTCGTTCATATATCTGCCCTGATGATCTCACTCCTGTCCAGAACATACTGACAGATGAGCTGTTAAACAATAGAGCTATTGATTAACTCTAACCCCAGATCAGGGGGCAACACCAGAAATTCATGTCCAATAGAACATTCCTTGTATTAAATCTAGAGCAAGGAATTGTCCAATGGTAGAATGAGCCTCAATACTTCCAAATCTGACAATGAGACACCTTGTCTACGGGACAAGAAAACCCTCAGTTGCTCATCCCAACATTAGAAAAGAACAACCTTTACAGAAATACTGAAACTCAAGAAAAATAAAAAAAAACAAACTTACCAACTACCATGAGTGTGAATTCAAACCCCTTCTTCACAGATTTGCGATGCACCTGATTAGGGAGATTGGCAAATCCCACATAGCCAGGAGTCTCTGGATTTGAGAACTGAGCTTGCTGCTGCTGCTGCTGCTGCTGTTGTAACAGTTGTTGTTGCTGCTGTTGCTGTAGCATCTGTAAAACATTAGTTTACATAAAATTAGAAACTGCTGTGGTTCCACATGAAATCAATCTTTTAGCATCCACCTTCACAAAATGTGGTTCCAAAAATCATTTGCTAATTTCCTGTAAATCCACAGCAAATCCTCCTTGGTCCAACTGCTGTAAATCATGACCTTAATGAATTTACTGTTCTTGTAATTCTTTGCCTCTTTTTTCCCAAACCCAAGATTAATGCATTAAATTTAACAAAGAACTTGAAACTTAAGCAAATTGAAAGATTTTCATGGCACAGTTCAGTTACAAGGAATTCAACACTTGTGGATTGAAGAACATTTGAAAACATTTGGTTTGTATCTAACAGTTGTTCAACTTGGAGAATCCAAAGGGATTCTACAAATATACTAAGGACAAAAAAAGTGTAACTAGGGAGAGAATAGGGACCCTTATAGATCAGCAAAGCTGCATATGTGTGGAACCACAGGAGATGGGGAAGGTACTAAATGAGTAATTTGCATCAGTGATTAATGTGGCAAAGGATATGGAAGATAGAGAACGTGGGGAAATAATTAGCCACATCTTGAAAAATGTCCATTTTACAGAGGTGGTACTGCTGGACAGTTTAAAACGCAAAGGTGGATTAATCCTCAAGACTTGTTCAGGTGTACCCCAGAACTCACTGGGAAGCGAGAGAAGTGTTTGCTGGGCACCTTGCTGAGATATCTGTATCATCAATAGCCATCAGGTGAGGTGCTGGAAGACTGGAGGTTGGCTAACGTGGTGCCATTATTTATGGAATGTGGTAAGAAAAAGCCAATGAACTACAGGCCACTCAGCCTGCCAACAGTGGTGGGCAAGTTGTTAGAAGGAATCCTGAGGGACAGGACTTACAGATATTTGGAAAGGCAAGGACTGATTAGGGATAGTCAACACGGCTTTCTGTGTGGGAATTCGTGTCTCATTAACTTGATTGAGTTTTGTGTTTGAAGAAGTAACAAAAGGGGATTGATGAGTGGAGAGCGGTGGATGTAATCTATACAGACTTCAGCAAGGCATTTGACAAGGTTGCTCATAGTAGACTGGTTAGCAAGGTTAGACCTTATGGAATACAGGGAGAAATAGCCATTTGGATACAGAATTGTCTTTGTCTTTTTCCTTCAAGCTAGAGGGTGGTTGTGGAGGGATGCTTTTCAGACTAGAGGCCTGTGACCAGCAGTGTGCCACAAGGATCAGTGCTGGGTCCACTGCTTTTTGTTATTTACATAAATGATTGGATGCGAAACATAGGAGGTATGGTTAGTAACTTTGCAGATGACACCAAAATTACAGGTGCAGTGACAGCAAAGAAGATTACCTCAGAGTACAATGAGATCTCGATCAGATGGGCCAATGGGCTGAGGAGTGGCAGATGGAGTTTAATTTAGATAAATGAGAGGTGCGGCATTTGGAAAGGCAAGTCAGGGCAGGACTTATACACTTAATGGTAAGGTCCTAGGGAGTGTTGCTGAACAAAGACCTTGGATTACAAGTCCATAGTTCCTTGAAAGTGGAGTCACAGATGCACAGGGTAGTAAAGGCAGCATTTGGTACGCTTGCCTTCATTGGTTGGTGCATTGAACATACGAGTTGGGAGTTCACTCCTCGGCCCATTGGCCCATCTGATCAAGATCCTGTTGAACTCTGAGGTAACATTCTTTGCTGTCCACTACACCTCCAATTCTGGTGTCATCTGCAACCTTCCACTGCCACCCTCTGTCTTCTTCCTTCAAGCCAGTTCTGTATCTAAATGGCTAGATCTCCCAGCATTCCATGAGATCTAACCTTGTTAACCAGTTTACCATGAGCAACCTTGTCAAATGCCTTGTTGAAGTCCATATAGATTCCTTCTAACAACTTGCCCACCACTGTTGGCAGGCTCAGCAGTCTGTAGTTCATTGGCTTTTCCTTACCACCTTTCTTAAATAATGGCACCATGTTAGCCAACCTCCAATCTTCCAGCACCTCACCTGTGGCGATCGACGATACAAATATCTAAGCAAGGGCTGAGCAATCACTTCCCAGGGATTTTTCCACCTGGATGCGTTTTAAGGCATCCAGCACCACCTCCTTTTACAAGATGTTGCTATTTATTTCCCCACGTTCTGTATCGTCCATAGCCTTCTCCACTGTAAGCAATGATGCAAAATACTCATTAAGCATCTCCCCTATCTCCTGCGGTTCCACACATAGGTGGCCTTAATGATCTTTAAGAGGCCCTATTCTCTCCCTAGTTACCCTTTTGTCCACAACATATTTGTGTAAAACTGTACAATCCACGAGGGGACAAATGCTCAGGGATTGCTTTTTTTTTTGCCCACGTACAAGTCTCTACCGTACAGCTTTGTATTTCTACATTTGAAAATGCAACAGCCCATCTAATCAGAGATACGAATCAGCTATACTTTTGCAACTTCAGTTTGAGCTAAGTACCTCTACTTAAATAAGTCTATTCTTAAGTACCGAAATATTATCCCATATCTACAACTGATGAAAATCATGGATCCTGACAGCAGGGCTGTGCATTTCAAGCCTGACATGAATCAGCCTCAGAATGTTACTGCAGGAGTATTTTTGGGTCCTCAGCTGTTTTGCCTTTGGTCTTGCTGTCATAAGAACAGAAGTGGAAATGATCACTTATGAACGGTGTTCAATTCCATTTGGTACTCCTTAAAATGAAGCTCATGCAGCAAGGTCTGGACAACATTCAGGCCTGGGCTAATAAAACAGCAAATAACATCAACAAACAAATACTAGACACTGATCATTTCCATAGAGAAAATTTAATCACCTCCACTTAACATGAAATGGCTGAATCCCTCAACATCTTGTTGTTGATATTAACCAGGAACTTAACTGAACCAACCATGCAAATACCCATGGCTGCCAGTGCAGGTCAGAGACAGTTATTTTTCAGCAAATAACTCAAATTTGCCAAAGTCTGCCAGCCAGGGTTGTGATTCAATAAGCTCCACTTTGCCCAAGTGTGACTCCAACAACACGAGATGCTCAACACCATCTAGAACATAACGGTCTATATGATTGACACTGCCCAAATTAAGCACCCACTTCTTCCACTGTGTGCTATCAAAAAGATAGCAACAAGACTCCCTACACTGCCCTAAACCCACAACTTCTACCGTCCCAGAGTACTTGTAAATTCTCAAGTCACAGACCATCCTGCCTTAAAACAACATCACATTGCGTTAGAATTTCCTTCGATATGGGTGTCAAAATTTAATTAAAATGTGAACTTATTTGAAATGCACTTGAAGAGCAAAGACCTAGTGGGCTTAGCACCAAAAGGTGAAGTTAAATCCATAGTTTTTCCTCGACTAGCACGGATAAAGTAGGCTGAATAGGCTCTCTGGTAAAAATTCCAATATTTCTTGACTACTGTGGGTGTACCTCCACTACATGGACCGCAGCAGTTCAAGGAAGTGAACTACACTTTTTCAAGAACAGAGTGTGTAAACAGTGGCCTTATCAGCAAGATCTGGGAAAGCATGTCACATGCACGTGAGGGCTAGAGTAGGACAGAAATGTGACAGCAGGAGAGGTCTAACTCAGGTTATTAAGATTCTGAAGGGGTTTGAAAAGGTACATACAGAGAAAATGTCAACACTTTACTGGTAGTGGGGAGAAACAGAGAGCAATGACTTTACATTTATACCAACAATGGATTCAGGTCTAAATGCTTCAAAGTAAGTGAAGAGAATATAGAATTTATTACATAGTGTATTTCAGACAAATGATAGATGCATTCATGGGGAATCTAGGGAAGCACGAAGAAAGAAAGAAACAGATATGTTGATGGGGTTCAAAGAGGTGGCGAGGAAAGATGTCCATTTGATTCAAAAGCATCAGCAGTAAACCAAAAGGAATGAATGAGTTTTTAAATATTGTGACATGTGTCATTGGTTGGTTGACAATAATACCCGGTCCTTTTCAACTTGATTTAGTGATGGTGCTTCTCCCAACTTTGCAATCCTCATATTAGTAATACTCCAAGTAGTGTTATGGGGAATTCTAGATATTGACCCAGGAGATAAAATCAACAGTATGACAGATCCATATCAGAAGCTGTGGAACTCTGTGATGGTGTCCACCACACTGCAGTCTAGTCTTTCATGGGAGGAGTCGCATGCAAGTGAGGTGTCAAAGCTAACATGGTATAACAGAGTGCATCGTACAGATTGTACACTACAGATGTATTTTGCATTTTGAGCTTAAGAGAACAAAGAGAACCCAGCAGCACTTGTGCCAATCAGGCAACATACTGGTCCTAGATGGTGACAAGCTTCTTGCATATACCTGCACCAATCCACTTAAATGGCAACTCAATTTTTCCATCTTGTAGACAAAAGAGCTTTAGTTAGCCATCCAGTGCAGATTACCAAGCCTCCAGGTCTGCTCTTGGAGATGGTGTTTAAAGTAGCTGTTGTAGAATGATGGGCGAGGCTACGGTGATATTGCTGAAGGGCAGGGCAGGTAATTTATTTAAAATGGACAATTTTACTTTTTCAAACACCCTTCAACTTTAGTTTTGCTCAGGCTCCATGGGATCTCATTCAATTGAATAAAGTCCAACTACACTCACCATTACTCTGCCGCTCAGTTCTTGTGTACATGTCCGGATCCAAAGTTGTCACAAGCTGCTGGATGGAACTAAGTAGCATTGACAGAAACTAAATCTGCTGATGACTATCCATTTATCGAGAAAATATTTATGCTACTACTGACAAAACCTCTATGATCTTTAATTCTATTTTACATTCCCTAGTTATGATTTTATATTGGCTTTGACAGTTCCAAGTTCATCTCAGTTTGAAAGCAAAACATTTCGGCAATTTGAAATAAACAGAATTTGATGCAAATACTGGCAAGGTCTAAAAATGTGCAAGGAGAGAGAAACAGAGTTAATGTCCCAGGTCAATAACCTTTTGTCAGAACTGGAAAAAGCTAAACAGCAACATTTT